CAAAAAGGCATGTTTTAATATATTCATAACCGTGTTCATGTTTTACCATCATGCTTTAAAAAAAAAGCTATGGCCACGGTGTTAAATGCACAGTACAGTTATGATTTGCTATGATAACATGATATACGACTTCAGTGATTTCCTTAAGATCAATAGCAAAAAGTAACACAGCTGGAATAACTACAGCAGTCACCATCGTTGATCTCATATGAAGCAAGAGCTCGCGATGACATAGGATGATGTGTGCAGGTGTTGTAGTCTCATTTCTTAGAGGGAAATTTTGAAGCCCTTCCCCTTCACACTCAGTTTTAAGGGCCATGGGGAAGGAGTAAGGGTACAAGAATAGAATAAGGATTGGACATTAATCCCAGCATAACAGTGATACGCTAAATAGTGGTGCAGCATTCGAAGCAAGCTGTAAAGTAAAATTGTGAAGAATAAAAAGCAGTCACTGCATACCCACTAAAACACTCAAGGGATGCTTTCCCATACGCTGTCAGAGCCTTGAAAGGAGGCTTTTCTAAATGAGACTGTGCACCTCTCAGCATTACACACACCTCTGGTCTCCAGCAATGCTTCTCAGTCCATTGCTCAATTGCCCTTGGCTCGCTGCGCCACTGGAAGCTGTTCAATGTAAAAATGGCCAGAGCTGGAGAGACAGTAGAGAAGTGCGTCAAGAGTGACAAGGAGCAAATATCTCCTTGAATATGTCCTCGTCGCGCAAAAGAGGATGAAAAGGCCTGTTTTTTTATTGTGTCCGTTAATCCCCTCTCCTAAATGTATTATCTCCAGGATTGAATGCACTGATGACTTATTGACTCTTTTTGGCATCCTAAAAGCACCAGGCCCCATCTGCCAAGACTGTTTGGCATGGAATCAGCCTTAATCCCCTTTCGCTTGCAGAAATCTTAAACCCCTCCTCCTCCATGCCTTTCTTTCAATCTATCAGTTTGTTTTTTTTCTTCTGAAAGCTTTTTTTGTATATCACTAAACCAAAGCACAAATAATAACTTTGAGAAAAGGACTGTTAATATTCTTGGAAGTTTTTAAAACGGATTTAGAGAGATGATAAAACTCTCCCTCCCACAAAACAACCTTTCTATCTCATATGCAAAAACAGTCAAGGCTGCTTCTATAACAATCACAAGGTATAATCCGTCTGTTGTCGTCCTCTCCCCGGCTCCCCATGCGATCATCTCAGCTTGAGTTTTTTTTTTCTCTTTGCTTTTCTTTTTAAAGCCTCGACAAAGTAAGGAACAACCCCGAATTATCCCTCGTAGCACATCACATCTGCAGATTAGTAACCACACACTCAGCAATCAGCCGCATGCTGTGTTTACCCACAGCTCTGTGCAGACGCCAAGCAAAGAGGCAAAGCTGTCATTACCGAGAAAAAAAAAGAGAAAAGAGAAAGTATAGCAGCGCACACAGGTGTCACTGACCTCTTGTGCTGAGGATCGAAGACCTGTCATACATCTAAGTGATAAGGATCAAACCTCCTACAAATCCTCCACTTCTTAGATGCCTTCTGAGACCGTTTCTATCAAAGATCACACGGCATTTAATATTTTTTTTTTCTTGGGTGTTATAGACACTGGATAGAGAATTACTGACTACTCCAACTCCAATATCTGTCAAATAGTATTTCATAGTTGTACTTTTGCTAAAACTACCATTACTGTCTACTTCTTTTCTTTCTAGAGTTATAAGACGTGCATAGTTATTTTCTCCCGCCTTTGTAAATTAAGGGAGCTAATTTGACTCAATGCTGAAGTATATATTATATTATATTATATTATATTATATTATATTATATTATATTATATTAACAAAGGAAAGTACTCAGTGCTCTAAAATGGTTTATATTTGTGATTTTTTTTAGAAACTCTGTTCACAATTGAGGGAAGGATGGAACGTGAGATTGACAGGCTGGTGCAGCGGCAGCAGTAATGCGGTCGATGTACCGGTCCGTTGTGGTGAAGAAAGAGCTGAGCCGAAAGGCAAAGCTCTTGATTTACCGGTCAATCTACGTTCCTACTCTCACCTATGGTCATGAGCTTTGGGTCATGACTGAAAAGACAAGATCTCAGATACAAGCGGCCAAAATGAGTTTCCTTCAAAGGGTGTCAGGGTGCACTCTTATGGATAGGGTGAGGAGCTCTGACACCCGGGAGGAGCTCGGAGTAGAGCCGCTGCTCCTCCACATCAAGAGAAGTCAGCTGAGGTGGCTTGGGCATCTGTTTCGGATGCCTCCTGGACTCCTAGGTGTTCTAGGCATGTTCCACCGGGAGGAGGCCTCGCGGGAAGACCCATGACAATCTAATTTATTAATAAAATGTATACATTTTTAGTGTTTTGAGGGATATTTAGTGACTATTTTAGAGGGGGGAGGGGGGAGTTCAAATGTATATTTATATTACACATTTTTAATATTTAAGATATACATCAGAGATCAGAGAAAGCGATTTCTTACTATTAAAGGGCTGACTCCCATGCATCTTGTTTTGATGTCCTTCAAGGGGATCAAGCGTTAATAAGGGGGGTCAATCTCCCCCAAACCCCCTTTAATTAGCACCCTGGATGTACTGAAAATGACACCAAAATTGCATTTTTGGTGTCATTTTCAGTCTGTCTGATCTAATTTTCAACTTAAATTTTTCTTTATCTCAAGTATTATTTATTCACCCTCACGTTGCTTAAATCTCCAGAGACCCAGAAAAATACAAAAAAAAAATCTTAAAACAGACCTAGAAAACTAAACTAATATCTCAACTTTATTCAACTTTTTTCTTCTTCTCAGTGTCAGTATATGGCACACATATAAAAGAAAGTGCTATATTATAGAAAATGTATTAACCGCTAAATTGCTTTTCATATCAAAAAATTATTTCATATGGTAAATAAGCCTAGATGCATTCATTTGTTTAGTTGCCTAATTCTTAGTCTTTGGAATCAATTGCATAAACCGCTTACTAGTATTACTAGTCATCTCATTGACCATTTGTCTGACAAATTCGTTTTTAAATAGCAATAAAAACATGAAATATTTCTGTGAATCTATACTTAAACTGCTATGAAATGACAATGCTGTATCACAGCATGCAATTCATAACTTTTTGATTTGTTGGCTAATTCATATGATCTCAACTGTACAATTTAGTACGATTTGCTTATCCCCAATGAGTGTTGGGTTTAGGGATGGGGTTTGGTGCCTTGCCTCCTTTTTAAAATCGTACATTTTTGTTTGACTGAACTCGCTGAATTAGCCACAAAACTGAAAAAACGTAAAATACTAACTTTCCACATGAGATCAGGCTGGAAATTAAGGTATTTGTGTATTTATTTATTTACTTATTCATTCATTCCTTTTTAACTCAAAGTTTCAATCGTTGTTGACTATTGTGAATTTTACGAATGATTAAGCATCACAGTTTTAGTTCAAAACCTTTTTCATTGAAGAAAAATGTTGACCACCTAAATTAACAGCAAAATGTCATTGCGTGTAAAATACTGTCATTGTGTGATAGTTTTGTGTTGACTTTCCCTTTAAAAATAATTTTATAGACGATATTCATAAAAATCCAATACATAATAACTGCATTTTAAAGTTTAAAGTTAGACTCAACATCTTCTCATACCAGGAATTAGACATATACTCTTGACCAGAAGTTTCTAGACAAGCGCCATAAACCACCACATTTACCACCACCAAAATGGATACTCATGCTTCACTTTAACTGCGCCCTATTACTGGAAAAGATTACATAATTGTAGCATGGCGTATAGTTGAGGCGATCAATTGTTTTTCGAAAAAAGGTCTTTCAGCTCTTACATTAGATGAAATAGTCCTCTTTCAAAACCACTCACTGTGGATGTAATTCAGTAATAGGTCTGCAGTTATTGTTCTTACTTTGCTGCAGTTTGGCTGTTATCTCTTGTGGCTCACACACACAATAACCCGGCTATTGTCTGTAATTCTTGAGTCAAAAACATGCTGTCTGGAAAATTGTACAGATGATCCCTTACCAGGTTTTTTTCCTCAGCAAATCCTTTGATAATTCTGACCGAAGCTGCCCGAAAATAATGATGCAGGCTTTATATTCACAAAACAATTTGGCCTTTGAATCGGAAAACGTATAATTTATCTATCACCCCAATTTAAGAGGAGAACAGAGCGTCCTGTCGTGTCTAAAACGTTCGTATCTGTCTAAACTTCTTTGTCATTGAATATTTTTTTGGCCCGCAACGCAGTCTATCACACCGCAATCAGTCTCCATGTAACTCGACCTTGCTTGTACTTTATCTACATTATGCCGGTAGCAGACAGAGGCTTTCTCTTGGTTCTCTTGGTGTGACAGGCGCAATATCCACTGCAGTAAAACCCTATTTTCCCAGCTTTATTCTCAAATGCATAGGAATGGGTTAGCCGGGCCCTGGAGGCAAACTGAAGTGCTCTGATTGCGATCTAATGAAGCCATCAATTAATGTGACAAAGTTTCTGGACACCCTTCACCCAAAGGCAAGAGCAAGCCTTTATTCCACCTTTGCTTGAGTTACGCCCAAATCACAGGAAGGAATTACAGCAGTGATAACCGTATAGCGACTCAGGTGTCTAGTGGCTTATTGCTGACTCCAATGAGTAAATCAGTGTTCTCTGAGGACCGATCAGAAGCTGTGTTTATTATTAGTATAGGTGCTTAGAAAGTGCTTGAAGTGTAAGCACGGTACTGTCATTTGTTTTTTGAATTAAGTGATTTTCAAGGGGTTGATCAACCAGAAATTAAAACTTACTATTTATTTACTTACCCTCAGGCTGTTTCTTTCTTTAGTAGAACATTAAAGGTCCCGTGAAACGCTTTGAAATATGCATTTTTCTTCGATGTTTGGCGAATAATCTCTACCGAAACATGAAAAAAGGGTGGGACATAGTGTAGCTCCTCCCCCTTTTTAAAAGCTGATTTGTTTTATCACCACTCTGCCAGTGTAACAGGTGTTATATTGTAAGTGACCACTAAAGCACTATATCCCTTTAAATAATTTTAGAGCATCAGAGCATGTCACGTGTTTCGGTAGCCTAGGTGACTAATAGGTTAATCAGGCTAGCAGGAGCGAAGAGAACACACGTTGCTGTGCGATTTACGGAAAAAGGAGGCTTAATCCTGCACAATTTATTTAATAGAACCCTTTGGGAAAGCGGAGCGAGGTATGTGAAGTTAATATTTAAGCCACATGAGTTCATTTGTATGTATATGTTAATCGTGAGCTCTGCCTTCTTATTAGTTGTTTCAAACTGTCGTTATATACTTCATTGTTTCACTTTCATATGTCGCTCTGTACATTATATCTTTATTTGTCATATTATTCTGTATACAAGTTGTTTTTATTGATTTTTGTTGTTTCTTTGTGTAGTTTCACGGTGCTACGCAACGAAAGTTTAATGGCTCTCGTCTTGAGCATAATAAAGAATCAAGCACCCGTCAGAAACTCTCTGTCTCGTTCATGGAAACCAAAGGGCATCTACATATATTATATATATATTAAATTCACTCAAAAATTTTCTTCTTGTAATCATCAAATAATTTTATTTAATTTTATATTTTTAAAGTTGTTTTCTTTAAATATCTTATATTTCAGAGTTAATGATTTCATAGTGTTTGTTTTCAATCATAGGTATTTACATTAGATGTCACCTACCCTGTTGTCTATTTGAAGGATTGCTTCAATAGAGCCGCCATTTTAGAACAGGGAAGCGCTCCTTTGAAAAGAATGCGAGTCCAAGGTGCAGTGGAGGACTGTGGCCATCCACAGCCATAGATATATACACATTTACATACAGGGGGGGTTTAGGATTTTCAATAAATCGTCATCTTAGAAGGTTCTATCTGACATTTTTGTCAAAATTGGGTTATTGACATATTCTTATTAAATGACAACTTATTTACATTATGTGATGAGTTTTTATAAGTTGTTTACATTTTAAGACTTTTTACTTAAAAAAAAAAAAAAGAACAAATGTTACACACATAGCCTATTGTTTGTTATGGAATGCAAAAACCTTGAAGCTCAATATCTAAAAATCATTCAGAACGCAGATAGAACCATAATTCCAAGGTGCTGATATATATATATATATATATATATATATATATATATATATATATATATATATATATATATACAAGGGCGTAGGTTTGCACCTGACATTGGTGGGGACTGGGGACGAGTCACCCCCGCCAAGAATGAATATTGTTTATATATATATATATATATATATATATATATATATATATATATATATATATATATATATATATATATATATATATATTGGTATTTATTATTTAACTGCTAATAAAATGTATCATTGAGTAATCCTCTCTTCTTACAATTTATAAAGTTAAATTAAATAGTCATGCGTGTAGCCAAGGGGGGTCAGGTGGTTTGAAAGACCAACAGTTGGATTATTATTATTATGTTTGAATTTATCTTATTATTCAAATGGATAAATTTTCACTGAAGTAGGTTGAATGCGCCGGCCAGTTTGTTATGTGCCTAGGCTTCAGTTTTTAATTTAAATCAAGTTTTAACAGATTTCCCAAAAAAAATTATGATAAAAAATTGTATTTTAAAAATAAGTATATTTACATATTTGAAGAGTTTAGATGCAAAAACCTCTAAATGCCATTTAATATTTTCTTCTAAAATTAGCATTTTTCTCCAACTACTGTGTGTGGACTCAGTGATTTACCTTTTATTGTGACAAATATGTTATTTTCATTGCCTTTAAAGTAAAATAACTGAACATAAATATACAAGGCTGAGAAAAATGCTCATTTTACATGGCATTTAGAGGTTTAGGCATCTGTACTTCATTTCTTTATTCTAAGAATTTAAAGTCTTAATTTCTAGTTCAAAGTATTTTATTATTTATAAAACTGTAATAAAATTTACAGTTTAAATGTGTAAATAAAGCAATTTGACAAAATGGTATGAAATAGTTTTGGTACATCAAAAAGTGTAGTTATAATAACTATCCAACAAGATTATCCAGCAAAAATTAGTTCTTAATATGTCACTAAAATGTATTATTTATACCTCAAATAAACAGAAAATCAGGTGAATAACTGCAAAAAGGTTCAGTTTTTCAGAAAACAAATAACCCCTTTCAATAAGCTGGCTACAGGCCTGAAAGTGTTATGTTAAAATAATGTTTATTAACTGATAAAGAGAGGGTTTAATAAAGACTTTTGACCTAGTTTTCATACGTTTACATGTAGGTGTTTATTCTGCAGTTAGTTTTCAGGGAATATTGTTTACAGACTATATCAGTCTGCTTTAACGTTAGACTGAACGTAAAAGCGGTGAAAACACAAGCATAACGGCATTATCGTGATGGACTCATTCAGCAGCGAACTTGAGTTTATGTGACTCACACTTTTCGTTGGAAAAAGCTCTTTATGTCCACCTCTTCTTGCTACCTCCATCCTAACTTGTGCGTGTCTGTCATACACCTCACGCATCGAGAAGGGTATTCCTGCTGCACACATCGGGAAATTCCCGCTGTTTGTATCTGAAACTATGATCTGAAAGCAGCCACTCACATGACACCAGGGAAAGGCACAGCCAATCACAATGTTCACATGTGTTTGGGGGCGGTGCGACCGGAGGAGAGAACGTGATTTAACCCTTTCGGCATGTCTAGGTGGTAGTTTGTGGATATTGGTGGGGACATGTCCACCCTAAATCTACGCCCCTGTATATATATATATATATATATATATATATATATATATATAGCCTAATGTTACATATATACATATATATAGCCTACATATATATAGCCTAATGTTACGTGTTTGTTGTTAAATTATTGGTGGGGACATTTTGGTAGTTTGTGGATATTGGTGGGGACATGTCCACCCTAAATCTACGCCCCTGTATATATATATATATATATATATATATATATATATATATATATATAGCCTAATGTTACATTTAAAAGTAATAATTTAATAGTAATACACTTAAAAGTGTTTGTTTAATATGGGTTGTATACTAGTATATTCCACTGTATTACATAGACAGGCACAGCCATATTTAAATTTACAGGCTATTCACATATTTCACGATCTGAATGATCATAAATAAGAATTATTATTTAATACTAGACAACACTTGATGTTTCTATCTTTGTCAGTGAATTAGTGGTAGTTAAAACGAATCCATCGTCTAAGTGGTTGACACCCGTACATAGCGTTAAAGTCTAGCACTTTTACATTGTCTTGATTAGTGCGGTTAAATGACATTTGTCCTGGGAGCACTGTACAAATGTGGCGGCGCTATTGACGCATACTCAGAGCTGACTCAGAGTCCTAATGTGATATCTAGTGTATATATCTATGGTTTTCAATGTGGTGTGTTGCGGAAAAATGGTACGTGGTCCCTTTAAGTCTCTTTCCGGTTCCACCTGCTCAAGCTCAGTTCGCGGCAAATCGATTGAGGAGAGGTGAGTTGTACTGAAGCTCCGATTAAAAAGTATAATATGTGTTTGTTATCACAATAATACAGATGTAATTTCGTTCTAAAGATTTTCACTGAGAGCCCAATGTATCCTTGTTTTAGCACATCTTATACATCTACTATTGTCTACCCAGCAAGCGCTTTTTGTGTCTAAATTTAATGGATGTCTAGTAGACGTCTAAACATAGACAGCTCGGTTAAAACAAGGCTAAATTTGAGGTATCAGTTAAAATCAAATAAATGTCTGAAATAGCCCAAGACTGGTCATCAAATCAACAGAAATAGTAACCCATGTGAAGTCTGTTTAATCTGTGTATTTGGTGACTAGTCTAGGTTTAGAATATTCCTAGACTTTATTCCTGGACACGTGTTAAGATATTATTAAATGCCTATTAGACACATTATTGCTTTGTGGGATATTGAACACCTAAAACACATAGAAATGGGTTAACATCACATGACAAAACTTTAGACAAACCTCTAACTTTAAAATAAGACAAAAATATATTTTTAAAGCACTAAGTCATATAAGGCAGTGTTTCTTAACCACCTTCCTGGTGGACCACCAGGCCCTACATGTTTTGGATGTCTCCTTTATCTGTTACCCCCATTACAGGTCTTTTAGTCTTTGCTGATGATCTGAATCTGGTGTGTTTGGTTGAGGAGACATGGAAAATGTGCAGAGCTGGTGGTCCTCCACAAACATGATTAAGAAACACTGCACTATTTTGTTTACTTTACCCCATCACAATAGTGATTTTACAGTCACTAATATCATAACAGTAATCTTATTTGTTGGTTTAACTTTCTACATACTGTATGGTGCATTTATTGTCTAACAAAAAATGTTTTAGTTAAAACGATGGCCTGTTTGATGCTCAATTAATGAAGTGTATCAGAAACTTGCATGCAGACGGCTTGTGCACCTGGGAATATGCATGGAAATATTTATACTTTTACAGATGGAGAGCTATAAAATGTAAGTTATGCACCCAGGAAAACACTACATCTCAAACACACTGCACAGTGCAAGAAACCTGTCTGTCAGCAGCACATGTGTCAGTCAGAGCATCTGGCAGGGCAGACCGCTTCAAACTATATGTGTTAACTAAATCTTACAAGTTATTTTAAAGCCCTTAATATAAGGCATGACTCATGCTTACGAGTTCAAGTTGGATTTTACACTTTCCCTGAAGCACTTCACTCCTTCGCTATTTTTTATATGCGCTATAGTAACAGACTAGTTTATTCTTATATGGTATTTCCTCATACCATATTGTTTATAACAAAATATACTGATATTGATCAAACTTGAAAAACAGCACAGCCCTACTTTTAAGTATCTACATTAAGCTGTGCAAATACTGTGGTATAAGCATGGTAATAATTCAATACCACAGTACATCATTGTAGTTACACTACATTTTTGTCAGTTTAATACACCAATGTTTTGTCACAGTTTCAGTGTTCTGTTTTAAAATGTTTATTATTTACAGCAAAGACTATAGAACACACGAGACATGTCACTTATGTTTTTTTGAATGAGGAAAAGTATAACAGTCACTGTGGCGAATAAAGTCTGCCTTCTAGTACAGGATTCGCTATAGATGTTTTTCTCCCAGTTCATGTGTCTGCCGTCAGAAATACAGTGCGTGCGTCCGTGCCCGTGTATGTGTGTGTGTGTGTGTGTGTGTGTGTGTGTGTGTTCCAGACCTGTCAGCTCAGCGGCTCTTCAATGCGTACACACACACACACACACACAATACGTTGCATTAAGCACACCAGGAGCCTCATGTATCAACGCTGGGTATGCACAAAAACTTTTCATACACTAGGTTTCACGCTCACATTTGGATTTACGAATAATGAAGTCACTTTAAGACAATTCATTTCACTCTGCAGCCATCTTTGAAACGCTTTTCAGGCAGTATGCTCAGTTATTCTGTTCGAATAGGGA